GTGTGACTGCGTTTGAATGTGGCTGTTGTTGTATAAATTTGATTATTATTGTGTGTGGGCGTGTCTGTCCTTGTGTGTGCGTGTGTGTGTCTGTCTGTCTGTTTCTGTTTGTGTGTGTGTGTGTGTGTAAGCATGTGCGACTTTGCAAATACCGTGTGTTTGTAAACAAGCGTTATTGTAACTATGTGTGACTGTGTTTGTATGTATGCGACTGTCGTTATACAAATATGACCATCATACTGTGTGCGCGTGTACGCGTGTACAATTAAATTTGTAATCAGTACCGTAAATACCTCATTTGTATAAATTTGTATAAAAACAATATCAAATAATTTTAACATAATCACAAAGATTAAAAAAAATTTAAAAGCATTTATAATAAAAAATTAGTTTAAATTTAAAAATTACGAAAAAAAAAATTTCATTTTAATTATTTAAAATACGAATTAAATAATGATGGAAAATAAAAACAATGGAAAAATAAATGTATGAAATATAATGAAAAAGAGAGAGAGAGAGAGAGAGAAAAAGAGGAAACGTTAAAAGAAAAAGAAAGATAATGTCATTATGTGTGAACAATGGTAAAAAAAAGTTTAAGTTTTGACTAACTTATACATGAATAGATTTTGAATTTCAATTTTTTTTTTTTTTCCTTTTTTCCTTTTAAAAAAAAAGTTTTAAAAAAAAAAAAAAATTTATGTGAACATGTACAAAAGTACTTTTTTTCTCTTCCTCCAAATGAATAAAATAAATTAAATTACTCTATTTGAAACAATAATAATAATAATAATAATAATAATAATAAAATTTTCAGTTTGTTTAATATGTACATAAAAAAGAAAAATTTTTGACATTTAAATACATGACTGATAAAAAAAAAAAAAAAATTCATTTCAATTTCTTTCTTTTATGTAAAAATTAAATTTAAATTTAAAATTTTTTTATTTTTTCCCTCCATTTTCTCCCTCTCTCTCTCCCCCTCCCTCCTTTTTCTTTCTCTATGAAATCGATTTAAAAAAACATGGCAGACTTTTAACACAAACATAACCTAACCTGGTAAACATTAATTTTTTTAAAAAATTAAAATGGCGTCGTAAAATTTTAATAAATATGTTATCAATATCTACAAAGACAAAATCGTTATTGTTTGTCGGTCGTATATAATTACAATAGAGTCGGTGTGAAAGAACAACAACAACAACAACAAACGATTAAATTTAAATAAATTTTGTAGACAAAAACAAAAGAATTTGTTTGTTTTAAACCACAAATAAATTAAGGGATTCGATATCGTGTTTGATTGAGAAAAATCTTTTGGGTTTGTTAAATATTATGTTTTATGTTTGTGATTGTGTTGTCGTATGTTTCGGCCCTCCGATTTAGTTTATTGTTGAAAAAATTACGACTCGGCGTTTAGCTGGAGCCTCCTAAAACTCCTGAAAGAGGAAAGTGTTCGCCTTGTCTTTCTCCAAAAGTCGGAAACTTGGGTTTGTACTTGTCGTAACGTGTTGTTGTGCGCAACATCTATCCCGAAGGATGAGAGAATGCAAATGATTCAACCATGTTTGGAACACCTTTCGAGAAGTCAAATAAGAGATTCGGGTACCAAGAATCCCGACGGCTCCCTGTGAGAAGGTTTTTTCTTCTATCATTCTTGCGGTGATCCCAAACATCGTTTCCCGTCGATCCCTCCTTCTTCCACGTCGTTCTACTCTACATTTATTCCCGTTTGGATAAAGTACCGAATCTTATCGCTCCCACGTATCCCGTAAAATCTTTTTCATCCCATCTTTTATTTTAATTCCACAATGTTTGCGTACTTTAGTACCCCTCTAGTAGGTGTTTGGCACCTGAAGCTTTTCCATCATCACAATCGGATCAATTTTGAAAATTGTTATCATAAAAATCATTTAACAAACAACAAACAACAAAATATTTATTTCCGTTTTCGAAGGAAAACTCATCATAAAGCGGCCATTACAATAAAAACAAAAATAATAAATTTCAGGTTTCAAAGGTTTTTTTACGAAAAGGTCATCGTTGAGGACACGCGCGCACACACACACACAAACGAATGAAAAATTTATTTTGTTTTTCAAATTGAAAAAAAAGGAAAAAAAGGTTTTCGAAAAGGTTTTTGTTTTTCAATACCATACCGAAGCCTTTTTTTCGATTTAAATGAAGCCAATTTTTTTTTTTTTTAAAGTTAAATTTAAAAACAAAAACAAACAAAAAATGACGTCATCATCGTTTGATTTTTTCCTTTTTTTTAAAATTAAAATTCGTTATTAGCTTATACGGAAATTTCGTTCAGACATTTTATTACTCTTTCACAACCACCACCACCACCGCCGCCATCTTTTTTTTTTCGACCACCCCATTACGTAATTTTTATCATTTCCGTTACTTTTTTTTTTTTTTATAATTCTTATCAAAAAATGAATTTCACTTACTTGGCAAATGATGAATTTTTTTTTCCAAAAATTTTTTTTCCATTCTC